GGATGGGTAGATGGATGGATAGATGGATGGATAGATGGATGATAGATGGATTAATGGATGGATGGATGGATGATGGATGGGTGATGGATGGGTGATCAGTCCCAGTTCATTTGGTGTTTTTTTTTTACCTGCCAGAGGAAGTAGAAGCAAAGTGCGATCTCGATCGGAGCGATCCACACGCTGTTGAAGTAAACCACGAAGTCCATCAGCTTCTGGGTGTCAGCTGAAACCAGACTCACGATTTCTCCCAGGGTGAAGCGTTGCCGGGCGGCGCTGCTCATCAGGAGAGTCTGGCATTTCAACAGAGAGCACTTCAACAACGGTTCCTAGAACTAATCCAACAACAGTTCCAGTTCTCTGACCTTCCTGTAGACCAGTCCCATCAGCGCCGTCTTCAGTCTCATGCCCACGGTGAAGCAGTGGAACATGTACTGGTGATTCAGAACCGACTGGAGGCAGGACAGCAGGAAGAGCAGCACGGCGAACAGGAAGCCCTTCCACAAGGGGGCGTCTGGGTCGCGCATAAACGCCAACAGAGCACTGACGGCAACAGATGAAACAAAGGAAAAAAAAAATCCAAAAGGTGACTCTGATCCTGGATCAGTCTAACTCTGATCTGAGCTTCTCACCTCAGCACCTGGGGCACAGCGAACATGAAGGCGTCGTGGAGGAGGAGGCACCCAGTGCCGCACAGGAAGTACGGGCCGAAGCTCCGCCCCAAAGCGCCAAAAAGAAACAGGATGTAACCCCGCCCCTTCTTATTCTCCTTCTTCAGCAGGTGTGTATTTTCTGTCGGTGCACCAGACCCACCTGACCGGGACCACGAGCGGGACCAGGGTTTGGACCAGGACCGGGACACGGACCAGGCGTGAGGTGAAAGAGAACCAGTGGCGTCCTCTCTACAGAACAGAGAAACGTTTACGTTTAAAATCAGATGTTTAAAGGTCGGTGTGAGGGGATTCTTACTGAAGCTGTTCACACTTCTGACTCCAGAGTTTCTCCAAGTCCGTCATGATCCGCATCGATGAGTCCTGGTCCCGCAGAGACCACAGGTCTTCAGCCTCTAGAGGGCGCTGGTAACCTTTAAAAACCAAACTGGGAGACACGAGGATTCATCTTTATTATTTGTGCTTTTGTTTAGTGGAGTTTAGTTAGCGTGTTAGCTTAGCATGCACGTAGCTCAACGCAAAGCACTCTGGGAAATTCTGAAAACAATAGATAAGAAAAATGGGACAAAAAACGTTCCAACCGATATCAAGTTTGTTTTGCTGAGG